CACTGCAATCGTCTTCAGAAAAAATGTAGATTTATTAATATTACTTTGGTTGGAATATATTCTTTTTATTTATGTAAAATATCTATTATCTTCAAAGTTAAAACAAAATATTATTTTTCTCACGCTTTGTTAAATTTACTCTGATTCAAACTTTTTAATGTCAAAAGTTTTTTATTATAACATAGGTGCTTATAAAATAGTAGAAGCAAATTGTTTAATTTTCAAGAAAGACAAGACCCACTTCTGATTTCATTAACCATTTGTATTATAAATAGTAAACTATTTTTAAAAAGCAATGTTTTTTATTAAAAATACTGTCTAAGAGAAATACACACACATATCATATTAAGCCAAGCTATTATTTATTTTGGTCTAGGTCAAAATACGAGAAATTAGAACCAGTCTAAATCAACAACTTAATTGAGATATCACAACAAACTGCTCAAAAGTAATATTAATAATAATTAATTTATATATTTAAAAATATATATAAATATAAAAATTTAGAAGGGAGGAGCACAGCAACTTTGATGTAGTTCTATAATTCAGAAACAAAAAAGTTTATTATAAAGATAAAAAACTTGCAGACAAAAATAGTAGAGAACTACTAGGGAAGTTGAAGTCAGATAAGGAAAAAGTGTGAAAAGTATAATTTAATTATATTATTATACTTAATCAACAATAAAGTCAACAAGTTCTGTATCCTAGTATCCTTGTGACGCTTTGTAAAGTCGGACAATCATATATGTCTGAAATTCTGAAATTTATAAAGAAACTTTCTATCTATATAGGAAGGAAATTTATATCTACATAGGAAGGAAATTTCTATCTATATAAGAAGGAAATTCCTATCTATCCATCATATATATATAGAAATTCTTATCTATATAGCAAATTCCTATCTATATAGGAAATTCCTTTCTGTATAGGAAATTCCTATCCTATCTATATAGGAATTTTACGTTAGATTCTGTCACATCAGACTCTACAATTTTTTTAGATAGTTTTAGACTACTTTCTGTTTTATCATACTCCACCATTTTGTTAAGATATTAGATAGTAATAGACTACATTCTGTCATATCAGACTTCACAATTTGTTTAAGCTACTATCTTATCTTATATAGTCGTAAGTGTTTCTTTAGAGGTAACCCACAAAATAAAACTTTATAATAGCAACTAAATTTTTCCATAACTTTCAAAAACATATTTTTCTTATATATTTTTGGTATATAATTTTTTTTGTTATATTTTAAAAGTATGTTTTAATAAATCTGAATGAAAATCGGTATATAAAATAATTTGTGTAAATATCAATATTTGTCCTATTAAAATATTATATAGTTTTTGTTTTCTGTGTCTAAAATAAAACTATTTTATTATTTCGAAATGAATGTAAATGTAGACAAATATTTTTGTAATATTTGAATAATAGGTAAAAATATCTAAAAAATGTCACTTAACGAGTAGCAAATGGATGAATTGATGATTACAATAAACATCATTTTTTGCATTTAGTATTCAAATTAATAATTTAATATTTTTGTAATTAATTTTCTAATTATATTAAAAAAAGTTTCACTCTGAATTTTTTATGAAATTTTCATTTTTGTAAAATTGGATTTAATTCATATTTTTTTAATAGTAAATTGTAACCGCTATTAAATGGCAGATAGCTTTTTATTTAGAATTATATTGCATAAAAAGTTTAAATAATCACTTAAATGTTAAAAACATGCAAATATTGAATTTAATTGATTTAATTGATTTAATTATTAAATGCTAAATTGCTTTATTAAAATTATTATAATTGAATAGTAGTAACAAGCTTCTACATTACTAGATTAAAATGAGTTTTTGGGACAATTTGTGCTTTTTATCTTAAATAGTTTATATTTTAACTATAAAAATTGTATGTCATAGTTTTCGACTTCACTAGAATGGAAGGAGTTCGTAGGAGAAATTTAGTTTTGTATATCAAAATAATAAATAATGTCGTAAATTTAAGTATATAATACAATAAATTAAGACTACTAAAATGTAAAATGCTCAGTTCGAATGTATCTTGTAATATAAATACTATCAGTATTATTTTTGTAAGCTATGGTTGTACTGCTCTATTTCGCTGCAGACCAGTGCCCCGTTTATTGTTATTCTTAATCTTTGTGAATTAAAAAAAAAATCAGTTGGTCACAATTGGCAACAAATCTTCGTGCTTTATCCAAGTAGTGCACATCCAAATATGAATATCTTAGTTTTAAACTTAACCTGATTGATAAAGATGATTTTTAAAAAAGTTATGTCTCATTAGTTTCATTAGTTCGTAGATTTCCAACCAAAATGTGTTAACCTTGCCAAGCCTAGGCCTTTCTAAACAAAAGTGCTCAGTTGTTGATTTTCTCACTGCTGCATTTTGGCTTCTCCATTTGTTTTTGTATGGTATGTATTTTCGTAAAGTAGGCCATCACATAGATTATAGTCTTTAGGACTAAGTACACACCTTTATTTATGGCGTACCTCCGGTAACTAGCTTTCATCGAGTTCGGGTATTGTCATCGTGGGCTTGGGTCCATAGCCATGAAAATGGATATGAAGCCATAACAGTGATGCAGCTTCATTTAGTAGATAACTGGAGGTTTGGATATATGAATATTGTGATCTAATATCCTGTCAGCAGGACTACGGGTTTTTTATTTCGTTTCTATTATGAAAAATTTTCGTTTTTTATAAATTGCAGCTTGGCAGTCTTTATATTTTGATATCATCTGATGGATTCTACCTCAAGTCTAAAAAATTTTTATACGTGCACAGAATTTTTTGGTTGACAGCTTTAAAGTCTATTGCGTTTTCTTGGATTGTAAGAAATATTTTATTTTAATTGTTTTTATAAAAAATTAATTTTATTTTTCACATATATTTTATACTAATTTTATAAGAATATTGCATATATTGCATATAATTTTTATGTGATTTTGTTGACATAATTCGAAAACAGATGCCGACATAAGAAAATTTCTTTAATTTTGTCTTTACTCATTGCATTATGAAGTATGCAATTTTTAATAATTTTTGTATTAAAAATATGAGAACTCTCATTTGGAATGTGAACGATTTTATAAAAAAAGTAAAGCATTTTTATTTAAAAAAGGAACTGTATAGAAGCTGGAGAGCAGCAATAATGCGTATTTTATGGTGCCCATTTCTGTGCGTTACCCACTTTTATGAATTTAGAAAGAAGTCATAAAAGATTTATTTTTTTTGTACAGTGAAAAGACACGTACTTAGAAGTCATAAACATAATTTTCTTAGATTTTTTGTTTGTTTATGCTTTTATTATTATTTTACATGAAAATATGCGGTGCGGCACCGAAAATGGACTGGAATGTAATCACGTACACTTTTAAGATCTTACTTAATAAAATAAAAAGGGTAAAATACTTTTAAAGCTCAATATTTTAAACTCACTCATATGGGTACAGCCTAAGCAGAGCATTACTTTCATTTTAAAAACCGCCTATTATACTCGTATATGGAATAAAATTTCTACCTACTTTTACCTACTTTCACCTACACATATGTTCACTTGTTTTCATTTTAATATTATGCAAAAGTAATAAAACTGAAAATAGAATTTATCAGATGTGGGCTACAGTACAGCATAATACTGCTTTAAAGTATCTATAAAATGATGAAAGTTTGCACTTATGTGTTCATATGCGATATTTTATTGAAGTGATTTGCATTGATATAAATGTCATATCGATACGATACGATAGGCTTTTGTATTTCATTTTATTTTATTTTATTTCGTTTTACTACTTCAGTTTGGTTTATTAATTTTTGGCATAAAATTGCAGTGCTTTCAACGCAATACTTTCGTGGCCCTTTCCTGTCTACTTACATCACGCACACCGCACATAACGTCAATTTTATCAATAAATTTTTAGCTCCTACCTTCTTAGCACCATACACATATGTGTATG